GTTATACTTAGTAAACATCTAAATAATAAAATAAGGTACTTTCTCTTTTGTCAACTTGCTCAGCGGAGTTTGTCTGGGATTAATTGGTTGCCCTGGTAATGGCTTTTAAAAAACCAAACAGCCTCCTGGATCAGATAGCCAAAGAAAGACTGGAAGATGGGTATGTCTGTGTGTCTACTACTTTTCTTTTTGAATTAAAAAAGACATGCTTGCTTGTCTCTAATCATACATTACACTGTTTATTCTAAAGATGACATTCATAAAACCACCCATGTTGGCACACAGCAGCTCTTTTAAAAATGGTCTATTTAAAATATATGAAGTATAATTGCATTAATTTGGACATTTATGCTAAGTTCCTAAGAATAAAAGTTTGTATTTATTGAGAACACTGAATGTGGATTAAGTTACTATTTAATGTACTGTATATTCCAACTAGTATCCTTAATTTTTATTTATTTATTCAATAGTAATTCAGTAATGTGCTCAAAGGAGTTTACTCTCATGAAAAGATACAGAGAATCTGTACAAAGAACATAGCTTTCAGATTAGTATTTAAAACTTAGAGATCACCTCTTACAACTTTATCTGGAAAAGTATGCAGTCTGCATAACATAACAGAGTAAGTAAACTATTTCATACATTGAAAACTAACGTTCCATAGCCTTCCAAAGTACAAGAATGTAATTTCAAAACATTTAATTTATCAGCGAAATTTCAGTCATGGATTTGTATCTCCCAGTCCTATCTTCCATCCAGCTATAATGTATGAATAATAATGCAATTTTCAATTGTAAGAATTGCTATTATTATGAAGCCTTTTTTAACATTTAGGAGAAAATACTATGTGCTTGATGAATAAAATTATTTGCAAGTTTCATAAGCTAGGCCCACTCTTCTGGACATTAATTGAAGTGAATTTGAGAACATATCAGAAGACATATCAATATTTATCATGCAGGAGAAGTGCTAGACTAATTAAATAGAGCCCTGTTATTCTAGGATATGAAACTTTCAGAAGACTCTCAAGGATACGATTGGTAACTTGATAGCTTTCTTTAAATATGGTAGTTACTGACAAAACAATAAATGCAAGTAAATATTACAGTATTGCAGCCAGAATTAATTTTGAATATATTTTACTGATAATTAATGCAAGTCTTCAATCCCCAGGAATCAGCTAGCATATACTAACTCATGTTTAACCACTTAATTTTTATTATTATAAAAATAATACATTCTGTAATAAAATCCACATCCTAAATATAGTACATTGCTTTAAAATGTTCAATTGACATTGGTATTAGGAGGTGCATAAACACACTTTTAGAGTAAAAAAAACTTGAAACAGTCATTTGAATTTTGCGATCTAGTAAGTACATTTTTATTCAATGATTAAATGTGCCTAAATATATCTGCAACATTGAGGAAAAAATGTATATGACAGGCCTTATCTTATTATTCTGTCAAAATTCAAGGTTATTATTTTTGTGCTGGGGAGAATAATTCACCTTCATGTGGAAGGGAATTTCAGTTCATCCAAATACAGCTCTGGATAGAAAATAAATAAATATAAATAATTAAATGGTAAGAAAAGTACAAATACAGTTTGCTCCTAAAGCTGCTTCTAATGAAGGGAAACATAACGGGGATGATTGGGAATTCATGGGAAATCTTTTCAGGACCACTTTTTTAGCACAGTTTATTTCCGTTTTAAAAGCTGTGATATCTTGACTCCAAACAGATGCTAATGGACGGCGGTTAGAAATTAGGTAGGAAACAGATTAGTTCATTATGGTAAATTACTGGGCTCAACTGATATATCTGGAACAGAGAAGAGGATTTTAGAAAATTGTTTCCTTCAATCATTAGAAAGAAAAGGTAACTGCCTCAGTATATGGTAGGAAAAAAATATATAATGAAGGAGGTCTGGATGGAAAAGTGACAAAATGTTATTGCTGATTTAAATACAAACTATTCCATTTCAAAATGGCAATTGGGACAGGAATAGATGCTGTTCTCAGTTTTAGAATGAAATGCCCTCACGTTTTGTTCTATTTATAGGCTCCTCATGAAGATAAGTTATATAATATGAAGCATTTAGAAAAATAAGAAATGGTTGTTTGGTGGTAATCAGTCTAGCATTTTTCACTCTCCAAGAACAGTATAAAAAGGGATAATATAGAAAGTGATGCTTATTAATTCTGTTATCAGGGAAAAAAAGCCCCTAATATTAATGGCAGCCTTCAAGTAGCATAGGTGGCAGCAAACTGAAATAAGAGCAGACAGAAAAGTGCCTCCCAAAATGAGCAATTCAATTCCATCACAGTTCCCTTTGGTAGATTACATTCTAGGTACAGCATGTTAACTAAAGCACAAAATAGGAATTAAACTACTGATTGATTTTGAAACATTTTTCCTTTCGGAGAAATTTTCAATGGAAACCTCTGCCTTTATTATAATGGTACATTAATACTACCACCTCACTTTCAAAAAAATGGCAACACATGGAACAGTGTCTCTTCCACTGCCAAATGTAGGTTTTCACTAATAATTTTTCTTCTGGTGTCACCATTGTCAGGTACACTGGGGCTTCCATGTTTCCTTTCCCTAATACTCCCTTATTAGTAGTATATTCATGGGGAAATGAATAAAAAAAACTAAGGAATTACAGCATATTGTGATCCAAACAGGAGAATAAATGTATGGAAATTTTAGTACACAACCCACAGTATCAATGATGCCTCAAGAGGACTTCCATCTATTCACATCAAAAGTTCATACTGTGAGATTGTACCATGTGACATTATTTCTTCTTTGCACTTTTTCAACATATCACAGAATATTTCCTGGAAAGCATGTATTTCACTTCTTTCTATAACAAATTGTCTCAAACATACATAGCCATCATGTTATTGCATTTTGGAGTAATCAATGCTATGTAAAGCACAGAAACGGAATATGAAGTTGTAAGTGAAGGAAATTGATATTAGAAAAAAGAAGAAAAATAACTCAGGCTACAATGTCATTCACTATTCCTCTCCATGTCTTTTTACCCTTGCAAATCTCCCTTGTTTTCCTTTTATTTGTACCTTGATTTTCACACTGCCTTTAAACTTGTATCTCTTTTGAAGAGTCTTGCTAATTCCAACTATAACTTTGTCATCTTCTCCATCCCCTCTACCCATTCATTCTTTTACTATATGTTTGTTCAGTCTTCCTTCATTCTCTCTAAATGACAGTTGGTCACTCATCTTTGTATTCAATCTCATTTTAATTACCACCAACCATTCTTGATCATATACATTTGTGTTTTATTGTACACATTTCTTAAGCAACATATACCTACTGTATTCAACTTAGTTCTCTGAGGCTCCAGACATGCCCTATTTATTAATCACAAGGCTTTTGGTGGCTCACAAAGTAAACAATAATAATATAAAAACAATATAAAAACAAAAGGCAATTAAACCCCAGACAGAACATCTGGCATCAGATCCAGAAAGGTTCTGTCTTCAGCTATTTTCAGGGGGCAGACAATCTTGAAGACTGCCATTAACAATTGGAGAGAAGCAAACACTTATATAACAACTAGTTTCACCTCTTTCAATTAACAGCCATTCCTCACAACAGACCACATACTACCCACTTCCTTAGTATCAACATTTGCATCTCTTAATATTTCTTTGTGAATTTTACCATCTTTAGCAAATATTCCACAAGGTATAAACATTCTTGTATTTCTTCATCATTTATATAGGCAATTGTTCATTCCATTTTCTCTCAGCCACAACTATATTGGGTTTTGATACCTTAATTTTCACATTTCTGCTCCTCATCCATACTGCATTTGGATTTGTCACAAAAAATCATCTGCATATAAAATATTTGTTCATACCCTAACTACCACATTTTTAATGTTTCCAAAAATGTCTTTATTTATTTATTCATATCTGTTTTATTAGATATGAATAAAGTTAATTGCTATCATGAATGAGTGACAATAAGCTAATTGTTTGTCTCTCAGATATTATCAATAATTAGTTCAGGTCAGTTAGTAAAGGCAAATTATAATTTATAAATTATAATTTGCCTTTACTAACCGACCTGAACTAATTATTGATAATATCTGAGAAACAAACAATTAGCTTTAAAAGAATAATAGGCCATCGTACTAAATCATAGTGAATTTAAAGTTACACATCATCAAGAAATGTTTTTTCCTTGAGAAATGGAATATAAATATAAAATAAATACATTAATAAAGTGTTTATAACATTCACAGTTCTTGTTTGAGCAAGTATGTCTGTAAGTACTGGAAGAACTTAGTTTTCAACTTCATTCAGCGTGTTTCTGAAATGCCTTGGATGAGGGACATAAGATATGGACCCTGATTCTACAAATTAGCTATTGTGATGACAGCCCTCTCTTCTTATTTGCCTGATTTAAGTAACCCCAGAAATACAAATAACTTTTGTCAATACAACCTTTTCATACACGTGGTTACTGTCTATCTAACCAAGATACTTCCAACATGTTGGAAGCACAGTGTTGTGCTTCTTGTACAAACGAAAGCAGCAGATTTCTTTATATTGTAGCTTGTGCTCCAGTTTTTGTTATTGACCAGCTGCCTGGGACTTGGGAAGTATATAGTTGACAATTTTCTATGACACTCACATGGGGTAAGAGAGAAATAATACAGGAGTCCCAAACTTCTCAGCCTAGGATAGTTTAGAAACAAAAGCATAAAAAGCTTCTTATTTCCCGCTGGACACTTTTTTGTGAACAGGTATGGACTCAGTCATAGCACCCACATTTCCCACAAACTTGTTTTTATCCCTGCACTTCCCTTGGTCCCTTGAAAGAGGTGCCACCAAAGGCCTCCCTCAGGATGTCTGGCCTTGGCCTCCGGTGACCCAGGCGCCTTTGGCTTGCTCCTCTCCGAGACTGTCTGAGAATCCCTCCCCAGGACCTTCCAGCCCCTGAGGCCTGATTCTCACCGTCCTCGTAGTTCTTGAGGTAGTAATCCGGTCCCGGTCCACCCCGGCTCTTGGCTGGGTTCTTCACGTTCTGGAACTGCAAAAAGTCGGTCCTTTTGCCCGCGAAGCGGAGAAAGGCGGGCGCCAGGCCACGCGCCAAGGTCACTAAGCGCCGGGAGCTGCAAAGCAAGGGGCTGAATGAGCGAGGACGAAAAAGGAAGGGAGCGAGGCTGCACGGCTGCCACGGGCTGGGCGCGGCGCCATCGCGGCTCCGGTGCCCGTCAAGAAACGGCTCGCCAAGCCGGAAGCTATCAGCGCAGCTCCGGGAGAGGCCCCAAAAGCAGAGTACCCTGGCTTGAATTCCCGCACCAGCTGCTGGAGGAAAGCGCCGGAGAGCCAAGCGCCCGTTCCCCCAAGATTGCCACAGGGACGGCGGCGGGTCTCGGGAAAGGCGCCACGAAGGGCACTTGCGCCTTCTCGACGGAGCTGGCGTTGCCCTCGCCATCTCCGCGGAGGTCCCTTTCTCTACCTCCCCCCCCTCCCCACGTGCTTGGGACAACAGGCGGCGCAGCGATTGGCTGTCGGCGGGGAAGCCCGTGTTGTCCCGGCCAGCGGAGCAGAAGGAGCCGAGTTTCTTTTGCCGCCTGAGGTGGGCAGATCGTCCGGCGTTCCCTCGCCACGGCCACTTGTGGCATCGCCCGCGGCTCCTCTCCTGTTTTCTCTTCCCGGATCAAAATCGCCAGAGGAGACGGGAAGGCTGGGGCCTGGATACTGCCCCGGGGGGGGGGGCTCCTCACGGGAGGCAATTTGAGACCCCCTGCAGATCTCTAGGGATGACATCCGCCCGAGCAAACCTCCGGAGAGGGGCGGGGGGGGGGAAAGACAAGCAGCGAGGGTTTTCCGAACGGCGGATACGTTTCCGAGATGCTTTTCTCCATTACAAACATGTGCATCTTAATAGGAACCATGGCCCGGCCTCTTCGCCGCGGCTCTGCGGGCCGTGGGAGCCCGGAGGGCGCACGGGTCTAACCGCAGTGGGGGGCCACGAGGGCTGGAAGAGCTAAAAAAACAAAACGCGGCGTGCGGAGAGAAACCCGAGAGCCGCCCCCTTACCTGAGGAAGTCCAGCCAGCCGTCGTGAAGGATTGAAGGGTCCAGTTGCAGCGAGAGGAAGTTCTCGCTGGTGACACGGAGGGAGCTCCTGGTACTCACGTCCAGGAGGATGAGCGTCCTGCCCGGGGTGCCCTGCGGGCTTGTCCTGGCGGGAAGCCGCTTCACCCCGGCCTGAGAGGGGAGAGAGAGGTGAGCCAACAGCGCCAGTCCAGGGGCCAAAAAGGCCAAGAAGCCAGAAGGGCCAGAGCCGGGGCAGGGCATGCTGGGCCGAGGGGGGCTCCCCAATTAAGTCCCGCGCCGGGCACAGCCAGTCCCGGGCAGCTAATTGTCCGGAGTGCAAAGCGTGGGGGCGCGCTGCCTTTTTTCCCTCCCCCTCCTCCCCCCCAATGTTTTGGTGCTGGGGGAAGAGGGGAGCTCACGCCCCTGACCAGCCTTCCCCGGGGCCGGTGCCAAGACGCCTTGTTCGCCAGCGCCGCCCCTAGAAGAGTCGCCGCCTGCGGACATTTTCGCGTTTCCAAAGGTAAAGGAGAATCGTTCCTAGCTTAACGCTCTCGGCCCGGGATCCCCAAGGGCCCAGGCTGGTTCCCTATAAAGGATGACGGCTGCAGGCAGCGAACGGTTTTTTCTTCCCCCCCCCCCCAAAGGCCTTTCCCCCTCTGCGATTGTTTAAAAGACATCTCTCCAGAAATTGCAAACAATCCTTTTGCTTAAGGGTAGTTTTGCCACCGGAGCCTCACCTGGGCGGGTCAACCAGAGCCCCGAAATAGATTGCATTGTTCGGTCTATTATTGCTCAGTCGCGGAGGCAGTGCTGGCGGTTCGGCAGAGATCTGGAGCCCGTGTAGAGGCAGGCGGGGAGGGGTCGATCGCCGAGGGTGGAGGCGAAAGAAAAACGTTAACTTTTAGCCTTTGCTTTTCTTTTTTTCCTGGTTTCTTCTGCGTTCTTACCGAGCAGTCAGAAAACCAGAAGTGCTGGTGGAAGGGTGCAGGGCTACTAGCAGCGATTTACCCGCGCTGCCTGAGGCCGAGAGAGGAGTCCAGCCATAGCCCGATGCCGCCGAGAAAGAAAGAAAGAAGCGCTGGGGATTCAAGAGAAAGCGCTGCCCTGAAAAGCAGAGCTCGGCGAGGAGGAAAACCGGAACGAGATGGAGCGGTGAGTCCAGCCATCTTCTAGGCCAGGAGGGTAATTTTTCCCATATTGGAAAAGCAGCCTTTCTCCAAACAACCGAGAAAAGTTCTGAGAAAATGCCCCCCCTCAAATCTTTGTACCCCCTTACCTCTCTACTTTCGGCGCAGTCGCCTTCCGCCTTTTCTTGGGAACCTCTCTCTTTTCTCTGCAAGAAGAATCAAAGGCAGCGGCAGAGGTATTTTTCCAGTCGGAAGAGTCGGGAGCTGAGCTGCCATACCGGACAGGCTGAGGATAAGCGAGGCGGCCGAAAGAATTGATCCAGTTTTGTCTCGTAGGCAACTGACAGAGGCGCCTGAAGGCAGATCATCGCCACTCCCCCCTTCTTTGGGAGAGATTCACTGTGGGCCACGGGATAACTCCAGTTCAAAACAAGCCTCCAACGGCGCTTTTAGTGGACGTCGGTACCCCCTTCCTTTTGACGCGTCGGTCTGACTTTTCTGGGTATAAGATCCATACGGAGCAAAGGGAAATTGCTCCGGAGTAAATCTGCGCGACCCTAATCTCCCACGCAGTACTGAACACGAAATCAACTCCAGAGAAATGCAGACCAAGCCTTTTCCAAAAAAGAAATATTTTCGGTGGAATTAGGTTGCTAAACAGTTGGAAGAGCTGGTCTCTTCTGAGCCTTGTTTACATGCAGCTTGCTGGTGCCGCGGCTGAAACAGCGAAGCAGTCCCCACAGAGTGGCTGGCGGGCAGCTTTATTATTATTTTTTTTAACCTCTGCGCCGAGACAGCCGGTACGCCTTTAAAGACCGTTCTTGTATACTCATCTCCTGCCCACACCATTTGTGGCCTAAAAAGAGGAACTTCAATACACCTCCTTTTGTCAGTATAAGCCTACCTTACAGGACACACACACACGTGCGCTCCCCCCCACACACAAAAGAAACGCACCTCAAAACGTTAGGGACTGTAGATGAACGATCAGAATTCTGCAGTTTTTCGAGTATCAGATATTGTCTTCAGAAAGTGGGGCTGTGTGAGTCATGTCTACCATAAAGTGAAAACTATTGAGTTTAGTCGACTGCATCTGATTTATGGCTCAAGAGACTAGGATTAACCTTCCTTCCTTTCACTGAATACTGTGCCATAGGAAGCGCCTCAGTGAAATCTGAGAGGTGAATCGGTTGCACTTTATGGATATAAGTCTAAAAACATTCCTACTCACGAGTATGTTTCAGGTATCACCAGTAGGATGTTCCTGAAATTGTATTTGTTGCACAAGACAATCGCTGGTTACTTATGTCTTTGTGGACTTCAGATCATCCTCCTGTCCTGTGTATCTTTAATTAAAAAATAAATCCTATCAACCCTATTGGAGTTTACTCCTGAATAAATAAGTACTATATAACAAGAATGCGGCTACGGTAATAATTATTTGATCAGCAAGCCTTCATCAATTTGCAGTAGGATTTATCCCATCACAAACTACAAACAAAATGAATGATTAATTAACAGAGAACTTTTCACAGCTGTTGACCGGAGGGAGACATTCCTTATTTTATGCTCCTAATATTTCCAAATGATGAAATATGCATTTTTGCAACAAATTGTCCTGTTATAGCCATTTATAAACACCTTCTGCTAAGGTTCACTAGGATGGAGGTGCAGCCAACAGCGTTAAAACATTTCAGCTAGGAAAGGTGCTGTATCTGATGTCTGCTTAGAATCAGGGAGAAGCAGCAAGGGTGGAGGAATGGGTTACAGTACTAAACTTACCTGGCCCAGAGAAATATATTAAGTAGTCATCGCATTGGTCTTGCCTAGTGTCTCCTTGTCAGAAGATGGCTGCGTAAAGTAATTGGACTGAGCCCTGAATTTGGAAGAGCACGCTGAAAGATGGGGATAATATTGCTCTTCCTTTATGAATGTAAATCGTTCTCCATTCCCGAAGGTAGTCCAACAGAGTCCTTGAGCCCAGTAGCTCCTTTTCTTCTACCCTCTCCCCCTCCCCTTTCTTTTGACAGTATCCAGATCCAGGGCTAGGAAACTTTAAAACAGTGATTTGGGTATGTAACTACTAGATTCTTCAGTGCTACTTTGTGGAAAATTTATTAAAGCAGATTAACGTCTCTCTGAGTGTGCTCAGATTATTGATCATTCTTATTCCAGTACATCTTCCAATTATATTAAAAGGCATCAAGTTTACAAGATTTCCAATATTAATTGCCCATGAAGCATAGTTTATCCAATTATTTAAATTTAATTAAACTCAGGTTTTTTTGCATCTTTCAGTTCTGCAAATTAAGATATCCTAAAATAAACTTGGGAATTCTCACAGGAAGCATGTACTCTATTTTCTTTCAACTGAATATCTTTTACGTATAAGATGAGCTGAAAGGGCATAGTAAGTAACTCTTTTCCATTTATTTTAAAGCATTGGTGGTTTTATGAAATCATTTCTTTTTTTGATACATAGAGCATGTAAGTATTTTAAAATCCTTGTCACCAAGGATTTCTGATAATCTTTTATTTCTCTCCAAATTAATATGCTAAATATCCATCTGAAAAATCTGGATGCTTCTTCACTGTGCCATTGATATCTGAAAAGCTATGAGGGTGATGCTATTAAAAAAACCCTTCTTAATACTACTATTAGTAATAGTAATGTACTAAATTTATATGCCACCTGCACCTAACTTAATAATCTTATGCTTATTATCAGATAAACTTCCCTCATCTTCAAAGTGTCACAAGGCCTCTGTCATTTTTACCTCCTCCAAAGGTCCAAAGTTACTTCTATTGTTTCTCGATGGCTGCTGCAATCCATTGAATCAGCATTTCTAAAGATCCCTTTGAAATGTCCAGCAAGAGCTGGTTTGGAAGCAGCAATTGTTGCAACCAACTCAGAAATGCCACTCTTTGTAGGACTTCTTTCTGCGACCTGAGGAAGAGCTTGTTTTCTTCCATTATAATAAAAGATGAAATATGTATTGCTGACCATTTATCTCTAGTTCCAGTATAATTCTACTAACTAGCAGACTACAATACCAACCTGTTCCCTATAAGAGAGTCCCATTGAAAATATCTTTTAGGAGTAGGCTAAAACATTTCCTACACTTATACGCTTAAACAGTGCACATGCTCTAATTATAGCATTTGCCTTATATTCATGTGAAATAATTGTGGTATATGGAAATAAATGTTGTTTAACAAATGAGATTGGCGTCTATGGAAAATCCAAAAATAAAGCTGAGTTCACAGTACAAAGAGTATGTTCTAATTCAATTCTGCATCTCTACCCTGCCTGGTGTTTCCCTTCAGTTTGATCCTGAAAACCTAAGCAAGGTCTGTCTTGTTGAGTTCTTGGATGGGAGACCACCATAAAATTCAAGAACTGTGGACCACCCAGAATAAACATCCCTGAAGGTGGTAATGATAAATCTTTTTTAGTGAAGGAAACTACAAGGGTTTATTCAGGGGATCAACTCAAAAATATCTTTATTTTTATTTATCTGCGTATACAGTAGATAAGGAACTGTCAGTGATTAGACTGGTTTTTTCTTGTGTTTGGGATCTAGATTGAGATGTCCTAGGCGTTAATTGGGATGGGAGAAGAAGTTTAAAAAAGGGGGGTGGAGGCAGAGAACTACAGCTTCTCTCAAAGTTTCTTCGCCGCTGAACCTGCGTGGAGAAAGCAAAGAAAAAAAAAGATTTTTGCCAACTGTAGTATCCGGCAGAGGACGCACTACAGAGCTTCTGAAGCTTTGATTTGCCTTCCAGTACAACACTATCTAACATTGCTTTATGTCGGAGCTACCGTTCCCTGAGTGCCTCCTGGCGGCCAAAATTCAGGTCAGTGCCTGAGAACTAGAGGAGATTCCTAAAATGCAAGCGGCTACGTATTAGATAGCGGGAAGTGGGGGGGGGGGGTATTAAAGAACCTACAGCACATCCGTAGATCCTTCCTCGCATCTTGGAACTCTGTGGAACTGTAAAGAGAAAGCAAGCTGAGTATACCTCGCTCCTTGTCTCTGCCAGTCAAATGAAAGGATGGTAGAAACAAAAAAAACTCTGCCGTGGGCCCATTTAGTCCAGCATTCTCTACCGCAAAGGAGCCAAGTGCATTTT